ACGGCAGCGTCTTCCTTAACACTACTCGCAAGTGACGTCACAGTGATTTCAGGAGCATTATCATTAACATCTATGACTTCAACCAGCACTTTACTGTGAGCAGACATGGGGGGCTGGCCTTTATCTCTTGCCTCCGCACGGATCTCAAACGCTTTCTTTTCTTCATAGTCGATTTCACTTTTCACTGAAATGACTCCCGTTACAGAGTCTATTTTGAAAGTATCAAGGACATGATCTTGATCTTTACTGCGAAGAGAGAACACTATTTCACTGTTTGATCCTTCATCGGCATCTGTGGCATTTAAAGTCAAGATTGATGTGCCAATTGCGACGTTTTCTAGCACGTTTATCTTGTAAAGACTGCTGCTAAAAATAGGCGCGTTATCGTTTGTATCCAAGACATTTATTTCAATTTCTGATGTACCTGAATTTGCCGGAGAGCCCCCGTCGAATGCAATTAACATGAGTTTTATATTTGATTTTGTCTCTCTATCTAAGTTTTTTTGCAGCACCAGTTCTGGAGATATGCTCTCTCCTCTTTTGTGTGTGACAAGACTGAAATATTCATTTGGACTGAGCTTGTAGCCGCTAACGCCATTTTTACCAACATCAGCGTCGCTTGCTTCCGACAAGGCTAATTTAAACCCTGGCGAGGTATTTTCTGCGACATCTAATAGTTGCGATTTCGCATTAAAAGCAGGAGAATGATCGTTGACATCTTTAATTTCTATCTCCACGCGGTACAACTTCAACGGGTTGTTTATTACCGCCTCCAAGCTAACAATGCATTTGGACTCATCTGCACACAGCTCTTCTCGATCTATCCTCTCATTAGTGGTCAAAAATCCGGTCTTTAAATTTACCTCAAAGTATTTCTTTTTAGATGCAACAATTTGAAACAAGCGGGAGTCCAAATCTTGCACGTTCAAGTTAAGGTCCTTCGCAATATTTGCTATGTTAGTGCCTGGTTTTACCTCCTCTGAAACAGAATAAAACAGCTGTGTCGGCGCCGCTTCCTGGTAACAACCCAGCAGTCCCAGCAGAAAATGTGTCAAAGCAGCTCTCCAGAAATGTGTTGGTAACATAATTCCGTTTAACGAGATCAAAGTATAGTTCGTTTATATTTCCCTTTCCTCTGAGCAGTCAAAATTCAAGGCAAGATCCTTCGCTTTGTTGAAATGTACTCCATAACGTCGTCCCGTCTGTTCCCGAATCTCTTTGTGCTGAAAATCGCAGCCAGTCTCCTTTTGCTCTAGGAGGAGCGTTACCAATTCAGTGTTACGGTCTATAGCGTCGCTTTGTGGCGATTTCGCAAAACCACACTCATCAGAAATAATAATAAAAAAAATGCTACCTTGAATAAAAATACATAAAGATTCTACTGAAGGGTATAACTTACATTCCGATGCAGGAAAGGTTGTTGAAAGGTGTTTTATTTATTATTATTATTATTATTATTATTATTATTATTATTATTATTATTATTATTTTACTTTTTACAGAAAAAGAAAGGAAGAGGGGGGAATGCATGTGACAATCTTTATGAAAAACTTATTAAAATTTTCACTACAAACGACAGAAATAAATACATATGCGGTGCTTTATAAGCAAAAAACATTATGTCAGAATGTAGTTTCAAGCAAATTGTCGCCCAAGAGGAAACATGTCAGAGTAAACAAATAGTATACTGTATAGACCATTGAATAATGCTCATTTCATCATGTGAGGATTTGACACACAATATCTAGTCAACGTATGAGCACAAGTAGCATATACATTTGAAAATTAGAGTTCAGCGTCTTGGAAAGTGGAATACAGTTCTGCAAGCAGAAACGATGCAAAAGCATAATGATTTGAACTTGTATTTGCAAAAAAAAAAAAAAAAAAACTATCTTGCATGATCCTTATCAATATAAGTATTACCCACGCATCTTTGGTAAAAACAACAAAACTTAAATTCTAAAAGAATCCTTACCTTTTCTTTGTTGGGCAAAGTCTGAGTTCTGGTAAAAGTATCACTCCCGTTAATACTGATCAGTTCAGCATCTACAGGTGGAAATGGTGCGGGGAAAACCACTACGTCCCTCTTCAGTGTGTCTGAGCTGAAACACACGTCATACTGCTGAGTAGCTTTAGAGTAAGACCAGCTCCCGTCAGGGTGGGTGGTGATCATGGGGGCGCTGTACCTGCTGAAATCACTGTCTGTCCTGTGACATCTGACAGCTATTAAACTGATGAGACTCAGCAGAAAGATCACAGACACTGACACGATGGCGATCAGTAGATACAAGTTAAAATCAGAGAAGTTGTCCTCCTTCATAGGCACATGTCTGAACTGAGTCTGGACGTCAGCTGTGGTTTCAACCACCATCACATCAATAGAAACAGTGGCTGACAGAGAAGGTTCTCCATTATCAGAAACTAACACCAACAATGGGTGAGTTTTCAGGTCATTGTCGCTCATTCTCCTCTTAGTCCTGATTTCTCCGGTGCTGATTCCGATCCTGAACAGGTTGTTTCCTTTGGGCTCCGACAGGTGATAAGAAAGCAGCGCATTGTATCCAGAATCTGCGTCCACAGCCCTGATCTTTGCTACAAAGTATCCAGCTTCAGCAGAATAAGGGATGGTCTCACTGTTAACAGAGCCGTGCTCAGAATAAGGAGCTAAAATGGTTGGATTATTATCATTTTCATCCAGGACAAAAACATTAACAGTCACGTTGTTGCTGAGCGGAGGAACACCAGAATCTGTGGCCTGAACTTTAAATTGAAATGTTTTCATCTCTTCATAATTAAATGTCTGCAGACTTACTATATTTCCTGTTTCTGAGTTGATGTCAATCATTGTTGACAGCGGTACAACGTTATTATTACTGATTATTGCGTAGCTCACCATGCTGTTTTCACTAGCATCAGCATCAGTTGCAGATACTGCCTTTAAAACCGTCCCAACTGGACTATTTTCCTGCACATACATATTAATTACAGCCTCAGAAAACTGAGGCGCGTTGTCATTTATATCGGAAACTTGAATTGAAACAACACTTGTGTTAGACAGTGGAGGGCTCCCTTCATCTATAGCTTTAATTGTTATGTTATACTGGGAAATTAATTCCCTGTCTAGAGCCTGACTTAAAACCAGAGTATAATAATTTTTGTAATTTGTCTCCAATTTAAAGGGAACGGTGTTCGAAATCTCACATTTTACCTCACCGTTTTTGCCACCGTCTCTATCGAGAACTGAAACAAGTGCAACTGCGGTGCCAATTTCAGCGTCCTCTCTAACACTACGGAGCAGTGACGTGACAGTGATGTCAGGTGCATTGTCATTTACATCCACCACCTCCACCAGGACTTTACACTGAGCTGTTAGCGGAGGACTGCCTTTGTCTGCAGCCTGCACACGAATCTCAAAAGATGGATTTAATTCAAAGTTTATATTCTTTTTAACTGTTAGTACTCCTGTTTCGCTATCAATTTCAAATATTTCTAAAACGTGGTCCTGATCGTTTGAATTCAATGAATATACAATTTCTTTGTTCAATCCCTGGTCGGCATCAGTCGCAGCCACCTCGACTAAGGTCATTCCGACGGGCGCATTTTCTGTAATGCTTGTTTTATACAGTGTTTTGACAAAAGTGGGGATGTTATCGTTTATATCAAGCACACGAATAATAATTTCTGACGTACCTGATTTCACTGGTGTTCCTCCGTCTATTGCTGTCAGCGTAAGTTTAATTAATTCCTGCTTTTCACGATCTAAGGCTTTCTGTAGGACTAACTCAGCTGACACACTCTCACCTTTGTGCACTTTTAATGAAAAATACTCGCTAGGCTTTAGCTTATAGGTGCTTATGCCGTTTTTCCCCACATCGGCATCATATGCAGACAACAGAGGGAATGTTGTTCCTGGCAAAATGTTCTCTGCTATGTTGATAGTCTGGGATTTCGTACTGAAAACGGGGGCGTTATCATTTACATCTAGAACAACGACTTCAATCTGATAAAGTTTGAGTGGATTGTTAATCACGGCTTCTACATTTATGGTGCATGTCGTCGCCTTCGCACAAAGAAGTTCTCTGTCGATTCTTTCGCTCACGTAGAGAAATCCTGACTTTAAATTGACATCAAAATACTTTGTCTTCGATCCGGCAACTGTCTGGAACATGCGCGACTCCAAGTCCTGCACATTAATGTTGAGATCCTTTGCCAAATTGCCAACTGAAGTCCCGGGGTTTACCTCTTCCTGGACAGAGTAAGAAAGCTGCCCAGACACGGCCCCACTGTTACGCTCCACGGAAACAAACAACAGATATAATCCAAAGGAGATCACTCCTCTCAGAGGATCCATAGTTCCGGCCAGCGACAACAAAACATAGATCCGTACATAGGACAGCACAACACTTGATTCATATGGAGAGAATATATAATTACAGACGCGAATACAAAATGTTGCTCTCTCGTTCACTGCGTCTAAGCTCCACAATGTACCGATAAAAATGGATGATCTCAACATGGGAGGTGCCTTTACAAATCAACGACCCCCGTCGGTGTTACGGTCTTGACTGTCGCCTCATGGACGTTTTGAGGAACTGCATCAAACCAACAAAACTCAGTAAAAAATACTTGTTTTAAAAATGCATTTACTCATACAAGTATATGAATCGAAATAAATGTTTTCCTTGTTTATAATGTCAGATTTTTTTTATTACGATCTAGGATTATGCAAACAATAAAATAGTTCACCATCGTGAACACAGCAATTAGCGAGGCTCAAGATGACATTCACCAATATGTTGCAAATCATACATGTCGTATAATTATGCATGAGTAAATGGAGCCACATTATAAAAGAAAACCACGGTCTAAAGTGTTCATTGACACTTCATATTTAACTTTTCATCAACCTGACCGAGGAAAA